GCTCGAGGACGAGCAAAAGCTTAGCTTGGGGGGATTTGATAACTTGCTATTTGATACGATTTTAGGGTGTTTTGAACCTAGTTTACTTGATATAAATTGCGTTTTGGTTCATTTTTACTCTATTATTATGCAATTTTTGTGTATCCTTTGCTTCACGGGTTGTTGGTGTTTTTGTTGAGATTTTAGGTTCAAAAGAACGACCAAATGGAGCCCATGGATACAAAGCCGAGGTTAGAAGCAAGAAGATGGATGAAAGAAGCCAAGGAAAGGAGCATTATAGAAGAAAAGATGAAAAAGAGGGGCTTAGAAGACCCTGCACGGCCGTGCCAGACCTTGCACGTCCGTGCAGGAGGTTCCAGAAAGCTTCAGCAAGCTGCCAAGGCCTGCACGGCCGTGCTTAATCTGGCACGCCCGTGCAGAAGAGGGTGCACGGCCGTGCCAGACTTTGCACGTCCGTGGAGGGTGCTCCAGAAACTCAGAACATTCTGCCAAGGCCTGCACGGACGTGCCAAATTAAGCACGTCCGTGCAGATGTAGCTGCACGTCCGTGCCAATATCTGCACGTCCGTGCGGAACTGCTCAATTCTTAGCAGTACGTTCTGCCTCAATTGTTCCCCCTCTGCACGTCCGTGCCGAACTTGGCACGGCCGTGCTTAGCCTTGCACGTCCGTGCCAAATCTGGCACGTCCGTGCTGACCTGCAGTCGAGCTTCTTCCTTGTTTTCTCCGTCCTTTTTATTTGGGGATCATAAATACCCCTTTAGAGCTCATTTGAAGGAGAGGCAGTTTTTCAGAGCTTTTCTCTTAGTTTGTAGTCTTAGAACATTAATTTCTCAAATCATTAGTTAGTTCTCAATTATTAGCTTGGAATTATTCAAATTCAATCATTGTAGAAGACAAAATCCACCATTGTTGCTCACCTTGAAGCTTCATAGTAACCATTTCTTACTCATCTTTTCTACTTCTCTTTACTTTGTTGTTGATTATTTGCTAGTTCTTGCATGTTTTGGATTGTTAATTAGCTTAATCCTTAGTTTGAATTTGTTCATGAATTGCTTGAAATCTTTAATTGCTTTAACCCCCATGGATTGTGAGTAGTCTAAATTCTAGGGTTTGGGCAAAACCCTCAATGTAGTCTCTAATTACTTGTTGCATGTACTAATTTGGTTGTTGTGGGATGTTAATTAGTTGAGCTTAAGTGGTTTAATTTCTTAGTTCTTGTATATGGCCATTGCTAGAACTATTTACTCAAGCTTTCTCAACGAAGGATCGAGAGATGAACTTGAGTTAGCTCCCTTATGCTTGATTGACCCGAAATGCCATGAGAATAGGGATTACCGGTCAAGGGAATGTTTATGTCATCGTGATTATGCTTTAACACTTGTTTTATGCTATGTAACCACGAGAGTAGGTTGTATTCATGATTCAAGTAATCCCTCTAGCTTGAGAGAGTAGTTGGGTGCTTTAGATGACTTCCCCTAATTTATCCCATTAATTTACCTTGATTGTTGCATGCTAATTGTGATTTGTGATGAAGTTGAGTGGTATAACCCAAGCCCTAGATTCCTCTAAATATTGTTAACCTCCTCTTAGCTTAGTTGAATTGTGTTAGAAGAAGTTACTCAAAACCAACCCAATTTAGAATTCGTTTAGCTTATTTAAACGGTAGTACTCGGTGGTTGATTCAACGCCTCTCTTGGGTTCGACCCTTTCTTACCCTTACTATTGTTAGTGATACCAAGATAGGAATCTTTATCTTTGGTAGGCTCGACGACGGCCTATCAGTATCCAGCGTCTGCATACCCAATGAGAGCAGCATCTTGTTTTGGTTGGTAATATAAACCAAGGTCTTGTGTCCCTCGTAGGTACCGGAGTAAGTGTCGAACTCCCTTCCAATGCCTATATGTTGGTGCATTGCTGTGCCTGGCTAACAAATTCACAGAGAAAGCTATGTCGGGTCTAGTATTGTTAGTTAAGTACATTAAGGCTCCAATTGCACTTAAGTATGGTACTTCTGGACCCAAAATCTCTTCATTTTCTTCTCGGGGTCTAAATGGATCATTTTTCATATTCAAAGAACGAACAACCATTGGGAAGTTGGTTGGGGTTGCTTTGTCCATGAAGAAACGTTTCAAAACTCTTTCTGTATAGTTTGATTGATGGACAAAAATGCCATGACTCAAGTGCTCAATTTGTAGTCCAAGGCAAAATTTAGTTTTCCCAAGGTCTTTCATCTCAAATTCTTTCATCAAGTATTTTGCAGTTTTCTCGAGTTCATTTGGGGTTCCGATGATATTTAAATCATCAACATAAACTGCAATGATAGCGAATCCTGATTGTGATCGCTTTATGAAAACACAGGGACTAACTTGGTTGTTTTTGAATCCTTCTCTCATAAGGTATTCACTCAGACGGTTGTACCACATCCTTCCAGATTGTTTCAATCCATAAAGTGACCTTTTTAGTTTTATGGAAAGCAGTTGTCTAGGCTTGTGGTTTTCTGGTAGTTTTAGTCCTTCGGGGACTTTCATGTAAATGTCCGTATCGAGTGACCCATACAAATACGCAGTCACTACATCCATTAATCGCATTTGCAGTCCTTTTGTGACTGTCAAACTTACCAGAAATCTTAATGTAGTTGCATCAACCACTGGAGAATATGTTTCTTCATAATCAATCCCTGGAATTTGAGAAAATCCTTGGGCTACAAGTCTTGCTTTGTATCTAACTATTTCATTTTTCTCATTACGTTTTCTCACAAATACCCATTTGTATCCAACGGGTTTTACACCTGCTGGTGTAAGGGTTATTTTCCCAAAAACTTCTCGTTTTTCAAGTGACTTTAACTCAGCCAGCATTGCCTCCTTCCACTTTGGCCAATCACTCCTACGTCGACATTCTTCTACAGTTCTTGGTTCAACATCATTTTCATCAGACACGATGTCGATTGCGATGGAATTTGCAAATGTTTCATTAACGATAACATCTTTCCTATTCCACTGAGTCTTTGTAGAGACGTAATTCATTGAAATTTCATTGTTATCGATGTTTTGAACATCTTGTTCATTCCCCGTAGGGTTGTCTTCTTGTTCGTCCCCTTTTGGATTATCATCATTTTCTTTACTTTCATCCACATTTGGTTTTTCTTGACCTTCTGACGGGGGAACATCATTAGTCTCATTTTCTATTCCATCCAATCTTTTCAATTTTCTTGGCTTAGAATCTTTTGAACCAAGTGGTCTTCCACGCTTTCTGCGTGCCTGAGATTCATTTTCTATGGCCTTATTACCAGTTGGGATTTCAATACGTGCAGGGGCATTTTCTGCTGGTATATGTGATTTTGTCACCTTCTTTGTGTCTACAAATGCATCAGGCAATTGATTTGCAACACTTTGTAAATGAACAATTTTCTTAACTTCTTGTTCACACATATTTGTTCGTGGGTCTAACATCAACAGTTGTGTTGCATTCCAAATGAGTTCAATTTCTTTCTTACGTGGGTCCACTTTCTCTCCCCCTAAGGCTGGGAATACTGTTTCATTAAAGTGACAGTCCGCAAATCTAGCCGTAAATAAGTCACTAGTCAATGGTTCAAGATATTTAATTATAGAGGGGGATTCAAACCCGACATAAATTCCAGCCTTCTTTGTGGACCCATTTTTGTTCGTTGGGGTTGAGCAATGGGAACATATACAGCACAACCAAAGATTTTTAGATGTGAGATACTTGGTTCTCGACCACAAACAAGTTGTAGTGGTGAGAATTTATGATAAGTTGTAGGTCTCAATCTAATTAGCGCTGCTGCATGTATTATAGCATGTCCCCAAGCAGATGATGGCAATCTTGACCTCATTAATAATGGTCTTGCAATCAATTGTAATCTCTTAATTAGTGATTCAGCTAGACCATTTTGTGTATGGACATGAGCTACTGGATGTTCAACATCAATTCCAATTTACATACAATAATCATTAAATGTTTGGGATGTAAATTCCCCAGCATTGTCAAGTCTTATTCTCTTTATTGTATGATATGGGAATTGTGCTCTTAATTTGATGATTTGGGCAAGTAATTTTGCAAAGGCAACATTTCTACTTGAAAGTAGACTAACATGTGACCATCGTGTAGAAACATCAATTAAAACCATGAAATATCGAAATGGTCCACATGCTGGATTAATCGGCCCACATATATCTCCCTGAATTCTTTCCAAGAATTTTGGAGATTCAGTAGCAATTTTGTTCATGGATGGCCTTATTATTAATTTGCCAAGTGAACATGCAGAGCATGTTAATTCATCTGATTTGGGAATTTTGACATTTCTTATTGAATGTCCAACTGAATGTGCTATTATTCTTTGCATAATCCCAGTTGTTGGATGTCCCAAACGATCATGCCATAAAATAGTCAAATGTTTGTCATCTAACTTCTGGTTGATACCATATTGATTTCCACGGGTCGTATGTTTATACGATATAACCCCGAAGAGTATGCTGGCAATTTCTCATATATATATTTCTTGCTATGTTTTTCTGCCGTGAGGCATATATACTCTTTTTGATCTGTCGTCATTGTTTCTAGATGATAGCCATTTTGGCGTACATCTTTAAAGCTTATGAGATTTCTTCGAGATTTACTCGAATATAAAGCATTATTGATTATTAATTTTGTTCCATTTGGAAGCATTATACAAGCCTTTCCAGATCCTTCAATTAATTTAGCTGACCCGAAAATGGTGTTTACATTTGCTTGAAACAACTTTAGTTGTGAAAAATAATTTCTATCTTTTAAGATAATGTGCGTTGTTCCACTGTCCAAAAGGCATTGATATTCGGAACTAACTTCAGGTAGATCCATATCTTCATAAAATAAATTTGAGATTAGTTTAGAATAATATCATACAAACTTTTATTGATGATAGAGATTAAAAGTACATTAAAATACAGGGAACTAAGAAAATACATTAAAACATAGCATATGTTACATTAGTAGATGAGAAACCTAAGTATTGTTGTTTTCTCCAAGAATGAAATCATTTCCAATTTCAGCATTATCCATGAAATAATCAGACACATCAAGGCTGGGACAAGGAGCATTTTCCTCATTAACATAATTTGCTTCTGCATTTTTCTCTTTGCCTTTTACAGAAGCCTGGTAAAGGTCTACCAAATGTTTGGCCGTTCGACAAGTACGTCCCCAATGTCCTGTCATGCCACATCTGTAACATGTGTCTTTTCCTTTCGAAGGAGTTTGTTTGTGGCTTCCAGATAACTGTCCCTTCTGTTTTTCAAAATTTTTGAAATTTTTGTTTCTTTGAAAATTATTTCTACCACGACCACGGCCGCGTCCGCGATAATTTCCACGGCCTCTTCCACGGCCATTGTAATTTCCACGTCCACCTCTTCTTGTAGCATTTGACTCGGGTGGATAGGAATTTGTTGCATTTGCCTCATGATGAGTGGCCAAAGACCCAGTTGGTCTGAGATTATGATTTTTCAACAAAAGATCGCTATTTTGTTCCGCAACAAGCAATACACTCATTAATTCATTAAACTTCTTAAAACCTCTTTCACGATATTGTTCTTGCAACAGTATGTTGCTTGCATGAAAGGTAGTGAGTGTTTTTTCAATCATTTGTTCATCGGTGACTGGATGATCACAGTATCTCAATATAGACACTATCTCATGTATGGTTGAATTATAATCAATTACAGATTTGAAATCCTGGAACCGTAAAATTGTCCAGTCAAATAATGCCTTAGGAAGGAGCACCCTTTTGTGGTGTCCAAATCTTTCATTAAGGCAATCCCATAATTCTTTGGGATCTTCAACCATCATGTACTCAGTTTTAAGGCCTTCATGTAAATGATGCCTTAGTAACACTAAGGCTTTTGCCTTTTCTTGTTCGGTAATGGGTTTTTCAACCGTCATTGCAGAAGTGGTAGTATCAGTTGTTTGACCAGAGGGACTTTTATTTTCTTTAACAGTGTGCTCCAAGCCTTGAGCTTTCAAATTCATCATTGCATCCACTTTCCATTCCAGAAATTTCTTTCCAGATAAATCTAAGATGCTGAACTGTCTTTTCATAAGGTCTCCCATTTTAGCTACAACAAATTACGTGATAATTAGTTTATAATAACAAATTATATGTACAACTCACATGTTTAGTTCTTCCATATTTATAATTAAGTTAATAAGACACGTGATAATTAAATTTAATAATAATAAACCATAAGTAATATAGTCTTTTCTCCCCCTTGGTTTATTATTGTGAGTAATTATATGATTAGACAAAAATTAATCATGTTAGTTGCAAAAAAAACAGCAAAACGACAACAATGACAGTAGTAACAATAATTATAATGATAACGGTAATATTATACAATGATGATTAATAACAACAAACAAACATAATAAAACAAAAACAAGCTTTTAATATACTAAAACGACAAAATAAGTGAGTTTTACTTATACATAATGACAAAAACTAATATTGCTACTAATAGAACTACAAGCGTCGTAATTAGAAGGAAATATTGTTTTATCTTCCTTAAATCTTCTTCAAAGGTGAATTTGTGGGTGTTTTGGGTGTTCTGGTTGCCGTCATCGGGGAACATATCAGAGAAGAAGGGGGTGATAAAATTTTTGGGTGATTTTTGGATAAAAAGTGGGAAGGGATAAGGGATTTGTGGTGAAATTGGGGGAAAATCCGCCTTTTGTAGAGATAGGTTTATCCGTTACTGTTCTGTACAACTGTAAATATATCATATAATAGTCTAATGTACTGGCATAAAATTATGGTCCGTATATATATATATATATATATATTTATAACTGTAAAAGGTTATCACACTGGGAATGCAAGCCATAGTGATCCGAGAGCCCTAATATCTATAAAAGATCATGGGTTCGAAAACGGAAAGAAACACAAAAAGTATGTAAAAGTAAGAAAAATAATAAGTATAAAAGGCTGCATCTTTTTGTTAATCTAGTTAATAATATGCATGCAAAGTTACTACTTAGCAATTATAATAACTAAGATCAAAATTTACGTAAAATGAGTATGTAATATCAACATGAATCAAACAAAGAAACATCAACATGAATAAAGCAAAAGATGATAGTTGTTTCGGGGTTTTCTGATGTCCTGCGGGAGAGTTACAATTCCGAGACTGGAACCGGACGCCTGTACCTGCAAAATAACGGAGACTCCTGAGAGCTCCGCCTCCAACGGTCAAGTTAGTACCTGATTAGGGAGTAATTAATACAGAAATTAAAGTAATGAGATCTCTCTAGGTGAGAGTGCTTAGTGTTGGTAATCTGCGTCGTAAGCGAGATTAGCCGGTTGTTAATAACTCTGTTCTTCTCTGCTTAATCTCTTGATTATTCCCTCCCTTGATTAATGAGGATTAATCGAGTATTTATAGCCTTGGGAAGCGTGCAACTCTCTAGGTTTAAGGTAAACCTAGGGCTGACCGGGCCTCTAGACTGGACTGGGCCTTGATGGCCGGTTTTCCCATTTGGCATGGGCGGACACGTGGCGTGTCTTAAGTGGTCCGTGGAGGACGTATCTGTGATTGACACGTGGCAGGTTCCTGTTGGCCTTCGTGAAGAACACGTGGCGGAACCTGGTTGGTCCACTTGTCAGTCGGTGATTGGTGGATAAAAATCCCCTAATCATTTGCCCCTCACAGGTGGCACGCGACTGGTCACGTGTCGCCTGTGACAGGTGTCGCACGGTGACAGGCGACGGCCTGTTACAGGTGTCACCTTGCAGACGGCCGAGAGATTTTCCCGCCCAAATTTTGAATTTGGAAGCGACCCTTCGCCTTCTCACTTTGCCTATAAAAGGAAGTGCTGACTTCGGTCATTTTCACATTTGAGAACTTTGCGAGAACATTCGGACCCCTGAACTTGCTCTGACATTTCGGACTTTTTCTGCCTACCGCCTGTTCTGACAAGCCGACTGACCCGAACTTTCAGGACTTCATCAACCGTCACTCGTTCAGGTAACTCAGTTCTCTTACTCTTAATTTTCTTTTTATTTTTTGAAATGGCACCATGGAAGCACACTACACGCCCTAAGTTAGTGATCAGCCGGTCACCGGGGACGGCTGAATCTAGGACTAGGAGTGCCGCCTGCCCTTTTCTGGACCCATCTTTGCCCTTTATACAAAGTCCGACTGTATCTGTGTCTATGCAGAACGTGATGGCCAGAACAAAAAAGACTGCTATGATATCAAACTCAGACGGCTCCTCCCAAAGGGTGCTCCTTAGTGAAACATCTGACCAGGCGCCAGATGTAGAACGAGACGACTGTCAAGCTGACAGTTCTGAGAGAGGGGCCAAGGTGTTCCCTTCCCATCTTACCGTGGACATGTCTAATTTTCCTTCTGCTCCTTCTAAGGGAGAGGAGGCGGGCCCCTCTAGGAAAGGGGAGGAGTCGTCCTCTTCGGACTCGTCAGGGGACGAGTCCGAATCCAGCTCTTCTGGCCACAGTTCTCCTGGCTCAGAAGAAAAACATAGCCGCCTACAAGAGGCGAGACGTTCTCATGCAGTTGAGAAGGGGGATAATTGGGCAGAGCCGTCCGCCTCTTACAGAGAGGAAAACGCCCCCTACTACTGCAGGGTACCCCGGGGCCGGATTGCAACCATGCGAGACAACGTGGCGAGCTTTATTGCTAACCACAAAATGGGCCCGGAATTTTTACTGTTCGTGCCGGATCCAGAAGACACTGTCGTTTGGCCGTCTGGTACCAGCTATGGTGACGGCTGCTTTGGCTGCTATGTGGCGGCCATCAAAGCTGGACTGCGCTTCCCATTACATCCGGCTGTTCAGCGGATTTTAGATGGGTATGATCTGGGGTTATGGCAGTTAGCCCCCAACTCTTGGGTAAACGTACTCGGCTATGTGGCCGGGTGCGAAATGTACGGGGTGGAGCCAAGCTTTGAGGCTTTCGCCCATATGAACTATCTCAGCCGGACCCCTAAGTCGGGAGGTACCGGCTGGTACCAACTAACAAGCCATAGGGGTTACCTTATGACAAAAGGTAAGGCGAACAAATGGAAGGATTGGCGGAACACCTTCCTTATTATCGAGGGTTCAGACACGGAGCTGAACAAACGTTTTAACAAGTGGAATAGGGATCCGCCTCTTCTCGCAGGCGGCCGCAGCATGCCGCCTGTTCCCCCAAAGGCTAAAAAAGAGATCCTAGACAAAGGACTCTTCAAAGTAGAGACTAGGGTGAACTCTACTTCAGGGGTACGAGAGCAAGTACCCCTAAACTGCGTCCCGAGCTTCAAGTGGCTCTATGACGAGTACTTCTTGGCCGCCTGTGGCCTCAGCAGTCGGTGCTCTAGAGGTAGCCGGCCTGACGAATACTCTGTTTTTTCACGCCTTGTTTACTTGGGATTTTTACTAACTTTGCTGTTTATTTCTTGCAGCTGACGCCATGAGTAAAATAACAGCATCCAAGACTGCAGCGGCCATATTGCGGGCCTCGCTCATGAAACAGACGTATGCCGAGTCCCACAACAAGGAGGCACCCTTGGTAAGCTTTGAAAACTCTTCCTCTTTTAGTTGTCTTATGCATATACTAACTCTTTTTGTTTTCAGTCTGGCACTCCAAGGGCTTCTTCCTCGCAACAGCCGGACCCCAAGGCCCGGAGGACGACTGTTGCAAGCTCTCCTGGGTCTTCCAGGAAAACAGTGGCGGCTGAGAAGCAGCCGGCCACTTCTTCAAAAACCCAGGCGGGGCCGCCTAGATGTATGGACACTCACTTGTAAAAACTCACCCTTGCTTCCTTCTTGATTAGGTCTAACTTGTTTTTTTTTTTTTTTTTTTTTTTTCTTCGCTTAATGCAGCCGGCCCCCAGGGACTAGACTTGGTTGAGGTAGCCAAGTCTATGGTTAAAGTAGTTCCTCCATCTGACAGGGAGGCGGTCAAGGGTGCCGGCACCCTTGACCTTGATGGAATTTCAGGGGTCCTAGCTGAGGTATACTTAGCACCTTTTTGAGCTTTTGAGTTCCAGGACGCCTGTTAACTCTTTTGATTGGAAACTGACGCCTGTTTTTCTTTGTACTTAGGCCCTGCTCCGAGTCAACAGCCTTCGCAAGCCGATTGATCGGAAAAACAAAGAGGTAAAGGCCGCAAAGGCTATGGCCGCCTCCAGCTGTGATAAGGCAATGTTTCAAATTGCCCAAAATGAAGTACTGACCATTGATCTTCTTTATTATCAGGCGCAGGCGACCGCCGCTGTTCGGGCTCAGCTAGAGGCGGCCCAAAAGAAGGTTGACGAGCTGGAGGGGACCGTCACCAACCTTAAAGCCGAGCTGAAACCCCTTCGCCAAAAAATGCACTCTTACGAAGCCATGGAGAAATCTTTGGCTAACGTAAAAGAACGCCTGGTGAACCAGGAGAAGAGTCTTACCCAAGAGCTCTCGGATAAGGCCGAGCAAGAGAAACAAGAGCTCGTCCGGGAGATGGTGGAAGACTCCGCTCAAATCCAACGCATGACCTGGGAACGACTGTTCCCCAGTGCCGACTTTGCCTCATGGGAAAGAACGTACCGCCAGTGTTCGGAAATATATAATCAACGGATCCTGGCGGCTGCTGAAGAAGAGGCGTTGGACGGTGCGTTGGAGGAGGAAGAGCCGGTTGTGGCGCTTGTGCCACTTGGGGGTAAGGCATCAAAAGATGGTGCAGCTAAGGCCGAGTCCAGCAAGAAGAGTGCTGACCAGGCGGCTGCTGCTGATACTGAACTGCCCCCTTCTTAAGCTTTAAGTATTTTTTCTTTTCACGGCCTGCGTGCCGTTTGCTTTGTAATTACCCGGCCAGGGGCCGGGGTTTTGAATATTCTGCTGGTCTTTTATGGCCGGCTCATTTTTAATCAAATTTTTTGTTTTGGTTCAAATTTGTCTAAGTATTTGAAATTTGCTCACTAGACCGACTGTTGTGTATGGCCGAACGTTAAGACAGGTACAAATAGTAAGTATGCCGCCTATGCTCCTGGACGACTGGTTGTCTGTGTCCAGGATAGATGATCAGTCGGCCATTTAATCAATTGGTGTTCGAACTCTTTATTCAATTTGACCAAGT